TGAGGATCTGACAGCTTATTGATTCAGTTATGAAATTTTGTGCGATAATCTTAAGTGGCATTTAAGAACCGCTAGTGATTAACAAAGGAGGCCACATATGGAGCAAGTGTAAGGATTGTGAGATGAGATCCCTGTTAGATTGGCTGACCTTTTAGATCTTGCTCTGGCTTCTTGAAGATGATTCAGACAAGCAGATTGAAAACTGGTGAGTCCCTAAAACACCATCTCCATTCTGATAAGTACTCAAAGGGTGTTATGTGGTGTGGAATAATGTATTATTCCATCTACCCGACATTTACGGCTAAGTTTCCTCCCTTCTTCCAGGGTTTGTTATGTCTAATACAGTAGTAACTTGGTCACTGCGACTTGAAATTAGATTTTTGAAATCTTTTCAGTCAACGACAAACTTTGTTTCAAAAAAGTTTGTGTTCCAGACTCTGGTTGACTGGCAGAAATAATAATACTATGCGACCACAAATAATTAATTCCTCGTCCCTTCTGGCTCGTCATTCATAATCATTTTCCCGAGACGATGCAAATACCAAATAATTAATTCTTCATTCCTTTTGGCTGGTCATTCAAGAACCCTTTTCGAGACGATGCAATAACTTTTGGCTCGTCATTCAAAGTCCTTCTCCGAGATGATGCAAAACATCCAAAATATTAATTCCTCGGCCCTTTGAGACTAGTCATTCAAAGTCCTACTCGAGACGATCTTAAATGACAATCCGTCGTCCACATTGGGTCTCGTCAGTATATAAAAAAAAAAAAAAAAATATATTCATATATATATATATTTTTTCCTTGTATGATATATCATATATATATATTCCGCCTTTATCTTGTTTTCTATTTTGGCGCGGAACAACTAAAATTTTGTTTTCCTGCATTTTAAAAATTACTCTTGTTGAAAACCCAGTCTTTTCAGTCATTCGAGGAGGCTATCTTCGTAGATATTTTAATTGTGCACGTGATTAATTACATTTCGTTCAGTCCACTGTTCAGGAGGTTTTTCTTTTTTTACTTTTAACAAAGACTCGGTAGTTTATCGTTATCTTTATTTATTATTATGTTTTGATTGTAATTAATGGGCGTGTACCCTATCTAACTGTTTGGATCTTAGTATCATTGGAATATATATATAAATATATATATATATATATATATATATATATATGAACAACTAAATTTTGTTGTTGTTTTAAATAGCTTCAGTTTCGTAGACGAAAATTTCCGTAAAGTTTCAGTCCACTCTTCAGGAGGTTTTAGCATTTAACAATTTAGTTTATCGTTATCTTTATTTATTATTATGTTTGATGTATGTGTACTAGTTTGGATTTGTCAAATGTTAGTTTTTTCTCTTTTTCTCATTTGTCAAATGTTTTTTTGTCTCCTTTTCATGGTTTTCTTGTCTCACACACACACACACACACACACACACACACACACACACACACACACACACACACATACACACATTCTCTCTCTCTCTCTCTTTATTCCTTTCCTTTCTTTTTTTCTCTTTCGGGTCTGTGTACATGCATACATACCTACATACATATGACTTTGGGCAATATAAAATGCAAAAAGAGTACTGCTCTCTATAAATATTTCTGGCAATTAAAGAATATTGCTACTACACCAACTATCACATGGGATATTATAGCAAAAGCTAAATCTTACAACGAGAAAGGAAATAGATGGAATGTATGTCTTGTTATCTTAAAACACTAATGACCCTAGCATATTAAACAAGAGAAATGAATTGATAGTTGCATAAAAATATCTGCTTACATACATTGATCCACATTAATTTTTAATGTAAATTATGGTCTGTTTTTTAAAAGAACAAATAATCACCCTTTATGATTTATATAAAAATATTTTTTTTTGGTTTTACATATATATACCTACCCAGTTTGTTTTAAATGCCAAATATATTTTTTAAATTAAAAAAAAACGAAACAAAACAAAAAAACTGTAATCCCAGTATAATATATTACTGCGCCAACATTGCGATGACCAGATATTTTTATTAGAACTTAAATTACGTAAATGTCAGTACCTGAAGTTTGCGTTGTGAATAAAACTCCAACTCTTAATATCGGCGGAGGATAATATAAATATGACCTACATATTCTAGATTTTCTTACATTAATAAGAAAAGCTAGAATATGTAGGTCATTAAATGACCCATGTCATTTGTGCATACATTACAAAAACTATATATTACTAAGTTTATAAAAAATAAAAATTTACTGAATCAGAGAAATGAAATAGCTATTCTTTGCCGTCATTGTCAAAAATTTTCCTTAAATAATATTTTGAAAAAAATGGGAGCTGGTAATGTGCATACTTATATTTGATATGAAGAAATAATTTAAAATAATTTAAGTAATTCTATTACATTTACTTGATTTAAAAAGAAATATAGTTTATTAGTAATTTTAGTAAAAGTATTTTAAAATTGTAGTTAAATATAACGTATTCTAACCTAAAATCCCTTTTAGAAAGAATCATTAAGCATACAAGTACGAAAAAATGCCGGAAAACTTTTTGTCGTTAATAATTAAAAAAGAATAAAAAAAAACAGACGACATGCCAAAATTCATTGAAAAATACACCCCTACCCTCCCTAAACTTATCCTCTTTTTCGAACGTAACTCAGAATTGATACAACAATAGTCAATAAAAATGAACACGTTACCGCCCCTGTCTGAATGATTTCTCTGTATCTTTGGAAAAAGGAAATTATGAACTTATATGTACGTTTAAAACTCAGTAAATTTAAAAATAAGTTATTCCAAAATTCGTTTGAAGATGAAACAGAAATAATGCTTTTAATTTAAGTATATAATGAAATTTGAAGTTTTTAGCTTCAGTTGTTGAAACATGGTTATTACTGTGTAACGAAGAAACCATATTTTAAATCAGGTAATGTTTATGCTCTGTAAATTTACATTGAGCACTGTTTTGTAAAAATAAAAAATATAAATAAAGAACACCGGTTTATATATCTTACTATTCTTTTTTCTTTTATTTATATATATATATATATATATATATATATATATATATATATATATATATATATATATATATATATATATATAACATGGAGTATTGCTGCCATATATGGACTGGAGCCCCTTCTGTTTTTCTCAAGGTCCTTGATAACATCTAGAGACGGATATGCAATGTAATTGGCTCTGATCTGGCATCTCGACTGCAGTCGCTCTCTCACAGACGTGTCGTCGGCTCCGTCTGTCTTTTTTTACAAATACTTTCACAGTAACTGCTCCGATTTCCTGCTTTCGCTGGTTTCCAGACTTCATGAATTTAAGCGTTCTACTAGGCTGGTATGTCACTCACATCCTTTCACTGTCAAAAGTGTTAGATGTAGTCGTCTCTTCTACTTCATGTCTCGCACTTCTCGCCTGTGGAACACCCTCCCCACTTCCTGTTTCCCTGATAGCTATAATCTCCAACTATTCAAATGTAATGTCAATCGACGTCTCCAGATGCCCTGATCTATTCCCTATCCTTCTCTTCATCTTTTCCTCTATCCCTCGTATTTGCTCTCGCTCCAACTTTCTGTAACCCATTGCGTGCTAGTGGCTTCCCGCCTTGCTGGGGATGAAACGCTTAATGCACACACACACACACACACACACACACACACACACACACACACATTTTACACACACACACACACACACACACACACACACACACACACACACACACATATATATATATATATATATATATCATCTTAATAATAAAATCTATGGAATAATGAAATAATCAAGATGCTGACGTTCCACACAAAGGAAGGAAACCCCCATCACTATTGGAAAGCACACTAAAGTTACTGGACTGAGAAACCTATATCTTCTGAGAAATCTATTTTCTTCAAAAAATAGTTTCAAGAGGCACTAAAGGAAACGGCTAATGTGATCATTACCTGTCTATATCTCTGAGATGAGGTATTATGATTATTTACATTATTCGGACTGTCATCCTCATCTTCAAAGCCATATTCACAACGTTTCGGACTTCAGGTGATCGGAATTTCGAACTAAACCCTTTCGTCCACTGGGGTAAATTGTTCTAGTTCTCCGTGCCATGCCTCTTCCGGATGTCTCAGTTATTTCTTTTTAATTCAACTGTCCAATTTTGTTGGTTCACCTCTGCTGTAGCCTGGTATTGAACCCACAACTCTTTGGGTTTAGTCACTGGATCTAACCAATGTGTTTATACACTGAGCCTTGGGGAGATCTGTGTATGAACTTCTGGGACTTATAAACTTAATGTCTCAGCAAACATATTTTTATCAGTGCTCATATTGCAATTTTTTTTATTATTGCAATTTTTTTGCCAGAGCTTATATTATGTAAATAATGATAATTACAGTTAACATTTATATCCTATCCGATAAAACGTGATTACATTTCGAACAGCGTAAGAAGAATTCTGGAGAACATTAATTTAGCCTTCGATTAAACAGGTGTATTTATTTGTTAGTCCACGCAGCCATCGTTGTATAAGACGCAGAGTGATTTGTCAAAGGGCTTTTCTTTCACAAATTAGCGCATAATATCTGATGAATATTGATCATTGTGATCGAACTTTTGTATTGAATTTTTTCAGTCAATATACAGCTATTCAATACGTGTCAATATGAGGAATTATTGTTTCTTCCTTCTATGTATTATTATTTGATTAGCGACAATTTAATTACCCTCATCTAATCACTTGAGGAATAAGAATAAAGTATTACGTGTGCGCAATGGGAAATACGTGCTTTCCATTCACCGCGTGTACACTGTCAATTGATGCGTTTATTTGTTAGAGTTGAATCTCGCAATCATCCGAGCGCTCTTAAACGATTTTAACCATTGCCTCTAAAAGCCTTCGCCAGGGCCACCGCCGCTGCAAACAACGTAACTAAAACAGAAAAAAACCAAAAAACAATAGAGTTCAGTAACGCTCGAAACGGAATTGTAATGGAAGAAAAATATACATTTGACAAATGAGAGAGAGAGAGAGAGAAGATAGAGAAATAGAGAGAGAGAAAGAGAGAGAAAGAAAGAGAAAGAAAGAGAAAGAAAGAGAAAGAGAGAGAGAAAGAGAGAGAGAGAGAAAAGAGAGAGAAAGAGAAAGAGAGAAAAAAAAGAGCAAACGTCATTTCGGAGACGATCGGTTGGAGACATGAAGAAAGGTAACCGTAGATGAAGGACTGAAAAAAAAAAAAAAACAAAAAAAAAAAAAAAAAAAAAAAACCGGAGGGGCTGAAGATGAAGACGAGGAAGCAATTTCGGAAGAATTTGAATGCAAAACAAACCAAAATGTGGAATATTTAAAAAAAAGAATAAATGGCATATAACCTAATAAAAGAACAAGAACTACTCATAATTTCAAATATCGAAATTATTAACTTGAATTTTAAATAATTTCCATTTTCATTTATTAGCAACATTCTGTAAAAAAACAAAAAAATATCAAATAACAATTACAATTACCCCTTATTCGATTATTTTCAATAACTTCTTGTCACTTTTATCAAGCAGTTCTTCGATACCGTTTGAGCAAAATCTGGTTTTCATTGCAGAACATCCGTGTCCTGGGTAAGACGATAAACTACATCCGACAGCAAGGTCTCTGATCATCAGTTTTTGAGGAACGTGGAACCACTTCTTAACTGCTGGTGTTCCCAGGTCCTCCATGACCCGGGGTGTTAGCAACTGTTAGGGCCACAGCTATGAGCAAATAGCTGATCCCCCGCAAACTTGGATAAAAACACTATGAAAGTGTAAAAATAGGATGTAATACCAGTAATAAATTTTTGAGGAATAATTATTACCAGCAATACATTTTTGAAGAAAACAAAATATCAGCAATTTATTTTTGAAGGAAAAAATATTCCCAGCAATAAAAATAATGTCGGCATCAAATAACGCATTGAGGTTGATATACTGTAAAATAAGACAAACGAAACCAAACCAATATATACTTAGATAGATAGATGGATAGATAGATAGAAAATATAACCAGCCATAAAACATCTTATCGGCATTAAATACCCCATTGAGGTTGATATACCGTAAAACAAACCAAACCAATATATACTTAGATAGATAGATGGATAGATAGATAGAAAATATAACCAGCCATAAAACATCTTATCGGCATTAAATAACCCATTGAGGTTGATATACCGTAAAACAAAACAAACCAAACCAAACCAATATATACTTAGATAGATAGATGGATAGATAGATAGAAAATATAACCAGCCATAAAACATCTTATCGGCATTAAATAACCCATTGAGGTTGATATACCATAAAACAAACCAAACCAATATATACTTAGATAGATAGATAGATATAAAATATTACCAGCAATAAAAATCATGTCGGCATCAAATAACTCACTCCTGTCGGTTTTTCAATAACGTCTTCACTATTCTCTTCCAAAAATCGCCATTAGTTGCCTCATGATATTCTCCTTAATCTCGTCCATGGTGCTTCAACATCAATTGTAACTGTTATTTTTTCTGTACAGGCCTATCTTTATAAGTAATTTTAGAATTCGTTTCCAAACTTCAACATGAAGAAAATCAACGACGTTCTGTAAGAAGGATCTGAGTTGCCCAGCCAAGTCCACCATCCACACTCCTCTGTGACTCCTTCTCACGACTCTTCAGGAGTAGACTTTCACAGACATCTTCGTCACTACCACCAGAGGGGAGAAAAGGAATAAGCACAGAGGATGACAATCTCGATGCCAATGGGTGATGAAAACAACAATTGGTCCCCGAAAATCGAAATCTCTTATCTAGAAAATATTATAAGTCTGTGATTCCGTTCGTGTCCGTGTGGTGCGCCCGTTTAAGTTAAAGACAGACACAAAGAGATCCCACTTTGCTGTTTCGTCCATCTGTTTACAGATTAATGATTTATATTTCAGCTTTCTTTAAACAAACAATATTTTCAATATCTAAAAAAAATATTGTTTTGGCATATTTAAAAAATATTTTCGGGTGAATATGATATAAAAATACCAATTGTGAATCAAGTGAATATGACCAATTGTTTTTACAGGTATTATTTTTATCAAACAGACAATTTTTTTAAATTAAAATATTTATAATTTAAAGACAGACACAAATATTTTTGACATAGTGATATATATATATCTTTTTTAAAGTAATCTGATTTGAAAAATATATTAAGTGAAGAAGATTTAAAAATATGAGTTGTTTATAAAGTAAGTATCGCTTATCTATAAGATAAGTCTTATCTATAAAATAAGTCTGTGATTGTGTGCGTCCATCCGGTTCATAATGATTCACGAATTGTTTATACAGTAAACATTTTTATTTTAACTTTCTTCAAACAGACAATTTTTTAATTAAAATATTTTAAGTTAAAGGTAGACACAAAGCGATCCTGCATTGCTGTTTCGTCCAGTTGTTTGTAATTATTTATATTTCAACCTTCTTTGAACAAACAATATTTGAAACATTTAAAAATATTTTTAACTTAATCTGATTTAAAATATATTTCAAGTAAATAAGATTTAAAAATGCGAGTTGTTTATACAGTGGGTATTTTTATTTTAACTTTCCTTAAACAGACATTTTTTTTTTTAAATTAAACTATTTTAAAGTTAAAGACAAACACAAAGAGATCCCACTTTGCCGTTTCGTCCATCTGTTTGTAGAGTAATGATTTATATTGCAGCTTTCTTTAAACAAACAATATTTTCAATATTTAAATAATATTTTTTTGGCATATTTAAAAAATATTTTCGAGTGAATATGATATAAAAATACCAATTGTTTATATAGGAAGTATTTTTTATTTTAACTTGCTTCAAACAGACAATTTTTTGTAATTAAAATATTTATAATTTAAAGACAGACACGAATATTTTTGACATACTAAATTTTTTTTTTAAATTTATCTCATTTGAAAACTATTTTAAATGAAGATTTAAAAATATGAGTTGTTTATACAGTAAGTATTTTTATTTTTATTTTCTTTAAACTAACTTTTAATGTTGAAATCAACTTCAATGTCTTACAACCTGAACCGTCGGTGATCCAACCGGTTACATATAGTGTAGTATATATAAGGATTATCAACCCGATCAAATCTGAAATCGGGAGAAATAGAACGTGTAAACACACAGATAGAAGAGCCAGTTCGGCCTCATCCAATGGGTTGGCACTACAGAAGTGACTGATTCGTTTAAAAGCCTCAATAAGAAAAACAACAGTACCTTCATCCAATTTGACATCGTGGATTTCTATCCATTCATATCTAAAAACCTTTTCGAAACGGCTTTGGAGTTTGCCGAGTTTTACTCCGATATTTCTAAGGTTCAAATCGACAGCATCCTAAACTGCAAAAAATCAGTTATAATTCACAACAACGAACAATGGATAAAAAAAAATCAGGTAAAAACTTTGATGTATCGAGGGGATCGCTGGATTCTGCTGAATCGTCGGACTTGTTCGGACCGTTTATTTTATACACTCTCACTGCTCACAATGAAATTAATTTAAATAATATAGGGATTTATAGGGACGATGGATTGATTGTAGTAAATCATTCTACCGGAGGCAAGGTTGACAATTGAGGAAATTGATTCATAGAGTGTTTAAATCTTTACACCTTTTTAAATCTTTACACCTCAAGGTTAAAATTAATTCTAGCATAAAACAAGTAGACTTCTTAGATATGACCTTAAACTTAACACTAAATAATGTTTAACCGTTCTTGAAAAATAATGCTAACCCTATTTATATAAATCCAAATTCCAATCACCCAACGCCAGTTATTAGGCATATCCCATCATTCATTGAACGCCGTATCAACAAGCACTCTTCTAACAAGGAAATATTCGATAAGCGCAAAATTGACTATAACAAAATCCTTACCCTTACTGGTTACAAATCTTCCGAAAATAAATATAGAGAAAATTGTAGTCACTCTAAAAGAAAAAAAAACAATAGAAGAAAGAGAATAATTTGGTATATACCTCCTTTCAACAAATTAGCCAGTACCAAATTAGGACATAAATTCTTAAATCTAATTAAGAATCACTTTGCTACGGAGAGTAAATTAAGTCAAATCTTCAATTGCAATACCTTAAAAACAGTTATAGCTGTTCTAGAAATCTAGATAAATTATTAAATCACAGAACAATGGAATACTGAAACTTCATAACGATAATAAACGCAACCCAAACACATATTCTAATACACCGCAGGAAAAAAGAGCTATGTAATTGCAGAATCACCGATCAATGTGAATTATTAAACAGGTGCTTAACGAAATCCATAGTGTATATGTGCTATATCTTATCAAATGAGTACCCCAGAGATATTAAGCTGTATGTGGGATCAACTAGAAGATCTTTTAAGGATAGATATTGCAATCACATAAACTCCTTTACAAGTGCAGTCCAACGCAATATGACATCAATTTCGAAATATTTTTGGAAACTGAAGCAAGATGGAAAGACACCTAATGTTAAATGGAAATTTTTATACAAGTCAGAACTTGCAATTCTCTGAATGAACCTTACTTTTTATGTTTGCAGGAGAACATATGTATCATTTAACATTTTAAACAACACTCAATTATTAAACCAAAGATAAGAAACCACTGTTGTTTGTAGACATATTAAGGATCTAACATTACAATCTTGCTAAATGCTTAATTTCATAACTCTAAACGTAAAACTTATAACGCACCTCCTTTGATATATATATATATATATATATATATATATATATATTCTACCCTCTTATGTACTTCTCCACTAATATATCTTAGTTTAGGATTCACAAAATATTTTTTGCATATATATTACTAGTAATACTTTCAGATAAATTCTTTTACACCCATATTTATTCTACACGCTATACTGTCCGAGAATAGGTCAAAATTAGATTATAAAAGTTATATTAATATTCCATACTTCGTTTTCTGCTTATATTTAATTTCTAAATCAAAACTTTCTTTTGCTTTTTAAACCCGAATAACCTATATATCCAATATACCAAGAAGAAATCGCTACTTCTAAATTTACTAATTCACAAATAACTTTCATTGATTACAGAATTAATAGTGATAAATCCAACATAAATAAATGCAATTCAGCTTTATGCTTTTTTGGGTTTACTATAAAGTAAACCAAAAAAAAAAAAACATTCCCAATTACTACTATAACTATCACTAGAATTTTTCCCTCTTACCTTCTCCGTCGTATTACTATCACCGATTCCCACCTTTCCTCCTGCAACCCTCAATCTTAGGATGCTTGTGAGATGATGTACCTAAAATTCTGACCGTGGTTATCGGCAAGGAATCTTCCCAGACAAGCCAGCATTCAACATCCCACCCATCCTTCACCAAATTGCTATCAACAAGCACTATTGTTTCACTCCGTCACCTTTTTGCTTTATGTTTATTTTTCCTCAAACAAATGGAAAAAAGGAAGTGACGTTTCAAATATGGTTTGCGTACAAGGAGAATTGTTCATACCTATTTTCGGTTCTCACCCGTCGAAGTGCAGTCGAAATGCACTGAAAGGAAGTTGCATCTTTGTAGTGAGTAAACTGTTATGATAAAATTATAATAAATAATTATCGCTCTACTATCGGTATCTAGCCCATTTTTGCATTAATGCTGTGAACGGTAGAATTTATATATTACTTTCGTTTTCATTGCATCGGATATATATATATATATATATATATATATATATATATATATATTGTGTGCGTATTTAGGCAGCATTTTTTCATTGATGCATGTTTCATTAAATAATATAGACAAGTTTTGTCTTTTTAATTTATGTAAATTCTTTTCATATCGTCTGATAAGCTTAATAACATTATCATTAAAAGAAGAAAGAAAATCACAATATTGATAAATATTTTTTAATCCTATCGAAGCTTTCGGCTTACATAAGCCATTATCATAGATGACAATTATATGATATATATTATATATATTAAACAATACACGGACAAAACAATAATGACAATGATCTGTTTTTGTTTGCATGGAAGATTTCCAAGCAACGACAAACTCGTGCATACGAGACGTTGGAATCGAAAATCGCACCGTAGCTCCTGACATCATTATGAAATCTCCACAAATATTCTTAAATGCCTATAATTTATAACAGAAGGCATTGGTTTATATCAACGGCTTCCCATACTTAATACTTCTCGTTTTCACTCTCGCGCGATGCGGTGCGATGTGATCAAGAAGATGGCGATTGACATTGCATATAAATGTTTGAAGATTGTAGTTAACAGGAAAGAAATAAAACGGAAAAAAAGTTCCACAGGCGGGAACTGCGAGAAAACACTGTTAGAATAGTGATGGCGGTTGCATTTAACTATTTCAACAGTAAAAGGTTGGGACCTAGTTACCAATATAGTAGCACCCTTAAATTCATGTAGTCAGGGTACCAGGGTAAAAAGCTCTTCAGAGCAGTTGCCATGAAAATATTTATAGAAAAGAAAGGGGGAATCCACTTGATAAAGCGAAGAATGTGATTAAAGTCGAGATGGTAAGTCAAGATCGATTAAATTTTGCAGATCATTCTCTGGATTTTGTCAAGAACTTCGAGATGAATATCAGGAGCACCAGACCAGATATGGCAACAGTATTCAATGCACGAACGAATGGTAGATTTGTAAATGTGTAAGATTGACTCTGATGAGAAAAACTTTCTGGCACGACACCGTGACCCAGCAGCAGGGATTTAAAAAAAAAACATTTCACTCCAAACAAGGCGGGCATACCACTTGTACGCAGATGGTTACAGATAGTGAAGGTGTGAGAAAAGACTGGGTATATGGTGAACCGAAGAAAGAGTAAACGCTGAACGGGACTCAAGAAGATATATGATGGCGATTGACGTAGCATTTACATTTTTGAAGATTTTAGCTAACAGGAAAGCAAGGAAACGGAAGGAAGATCCACAAGCAGGAAGTACGAGAAAAGAAACTGTTGAAGTGGAAGTGGCGGTTTCATTTAACTAATTCAGCAGTAAAAGGATGGGACCTAAATGCCAGTCGAGTAGCACACTTAAACTCACGTAGACCGGGCATCAAGGAAAAAAAAACTCGTCAGAGAGGTAGCCATGAAAATATTTGTAGAAAAGACAGTGGGAAGCCACGTCTCGACGGTGAGAATGATGCCAAGTCAGAATCGATTACATTGCAGATCTTTCTTTGGATTTTATCAAGAACCTAGAGATGAGTAGCAGGATTGTCAGAGCAGATATGCCAACAGTATGCTTGGGCGAATGGTAGATTTGTAGATGTGCAAGATGGATCTTGATGAGAAAAACCTTTTGGCACGACACAGTGACCCAACTTTCCTTGCAGTAGATGCAGCTATTGATTCGATGAAGTCGTTCCGCTTCGAGTCATGTTGAAACCGTCAGGCCGAGATACCGCAATCTGTTGCTATCCACGAGATTAGCATCAGCCATGTCTTCAGCTGATACTCGAAACGTCGATGTGGGCTTCCCCGTAGCCTTTTAACACTGAAGAAGTGAAAAAAGCGAATAAAAAGAAAAAAAAAAAACTTTCAAGAAAACAAAAGGAAAAAGGCAAAGATCCGAAAGAAAGAGAAAACAACATTAAGGAGAGAGAAAGGAAAAGTAAAACCAATATTGAAATATTAACGTACTGAAAAGGAAAAATAATGAGTTTGTGTCATATAGGAAGAAAATGAGTAACTACCGACACCAAGGTTCGAGCGTGACACTCTGGATTTATGAATATATACTTTCTGTGAGGTGTATTAATAGTGGTGTAAAGCTACTGAATGCTGTGATTAATTAGTGATTATTGAGTGATTACTGAGTGTAACTATCCAGTCGAATTAGTGTGAATTATTGTACGTCGATGAATTGGATTTACCGGACATTAAGCCGAACCGCGCTAGTAACAAGGTGTTCACTGAAATGGTTAATTATCTTTGGTCGACTTTCACTTCTTTGTTCTTATTAAGTATTTATTGACGACTGTAATTAAATATTGTCTTAGCATTGAAGTGTTGAGTTATACTTAATCATTAACGGCCACTGTACGACACAAAAGTTTACAGTAAAAATAAGAAATTAAATTGAAATATTTCTATGTGTTGTGCCTCTTCACAATTTCCTGTCTCTTGTAGTTGTTAATAATTATTGCCTTTTCACCATCTCTTTCATACCATGCTCCGCCATCCATTCGCTCAAGTACGTGCGTTGCTTTCCTCTGATACCATCAATCTCTCATGTGGGTATTAAATTTTCCAAGCCCTCCTTCCTAAATATGCGTACCAGAATCATTAACTGTCTCTTTCTGATGTTAACTATGTATGCTTTTTGTTAGCATTATCTTCTTCCTTTCTCATATGTTTGGTCTATGTTACTCTCAACATGCTTCTATAGAACCATATTTACGCTGCTTCAAGTCTCTTCTTCATCTGTGAGGAGAACAGATAAAATTTCAGTAACCTTCACTTTGTTTCTAACTATAGTAGAATCCCTCATATCCGCATGTGTGAAATTAAATATAAAATGTCGACAATTTAACCATCTCACCCTGTATATCGTTGCGGAGTAATGGGCTGCTGATTCTGCATGAAATGAGTCCTATGTTGAATATGAATAGAAGTCTACAGTCACCGCATGATAGGGTAGATGACTTGAGGGCCTGGAGAGCTCTGGCTTTTCGTTTGGTTCTTTTTGTCTCTTCTTCTGTTTGTCTTCTGGCGTTTTAAGGTACGATGTATTTTGTTTTTTTTTCGTCGACTGTTCTTCTCCAATTGGTTCTTTCTGGAACTTCCGTCATCCAATTGACTCGAACGATTTCTGTCCTCAGTAAGGTCTTTTTGAGCGACGACGTAGGGGTTCACTTGGTCTTTTGCCAGATGCGAACTCCGAGAAGAGGATTTGTTTGAGTAAGCGGATGTCTGGCAATCGGACAAGGTCATCGAAGTTGGTTGCTCGTAATGATGGTTTTCTAGGTTCTCTATCTTTGCGCGGAGGAGAATTTCCTTGTCCGTGATTCGGTCCTGCCGCTTGATCCGTATGATTTAACGCAGTTTGTTAAATATGAGTGTGTGTTAATTTCGTACTAATGCCCTTGGAAAAGGCATGTCTCAATATTCCTTCTGCTATGGATTAAATAGCAGCGCAGATTGGGTTCACTTGCCTTGGCTGGAATCCAGTATAGGAAAATAAAAACTCTGAATTAACACCTAAGGATGTATATTTGGAAAGTGACACTATAAGGTTATTGCAACATCTCAATTCAACCTGTACATTTTTTTTTACTTTACAAATGTGTCATCAAACGAAAAACAAAGAAGAGAAACAACATAAATTTGTGAGTTATTTAAAGACGAGATAATTCTTTTTTTGCGAGTGATAATTTTATTAACAACTGGGAGGGCGATGAATATAAATTATATGATATTTTTTTTCGGATACAACTTGCATGAAAATAGATTATAATGAACTTTTTTCTTACTAATAGGTTTTAATACTTTTCCAAGTTTAAAGTGAACAAGAATAGATACAATAGAATCTCACCTATCCGGAATCCTTCATATCCGGAATCCCTCATATCCTGAATCCCTCATATCCGGAATCTCGCATATCCGGAATCCCTCATATCCGGAATCCCTAATATCCGAAGTGCCTTATATCCGGAATCCCTAATATCCGAAGTGCCTCATATCTTGAATCCCGCATATCCGGAATCATTCATATCCGGAATCCCGCATATACGGAATCCCTATAATATCCGGAATCCCTCATACCCGGAATCCCTAATATGCGAAGTGCCTCATATCCGGAATCCCTAATATCCGAAGTGCCTCATATGCAGAATCCCGCATATCAGGACATGATTTTGATGTGTATATATGAACTGTTTGGGTGATATGTAACTGGTTTGAAATTTCTGTTTGTCAGGAAATTTACTTTGGATAATTGCTTATGCTTATTTCACCCTAATGGCATGTATTGGTGCAAAAGATGATGGGAATAAGAGGAAAAGAACAACTTTGGAGTTATCGCAAAAAGTGGAAATTTTACACAGACTAGACACTGGTGAAAGTTCATTGTAACTAATGGTCGACATAGGAAAGTTAGCACTCTATGATATAAAATCTCCCAAAGAAACTATTCTCCAACGTTCACACTATCACAATGAAGAAGTAAATAAAAACAGGATTGTTTCAACCTGGACTCATATTGAAAAAGCTATTGAAAAGTTTGTCAGTTTTATGGAAAGAAAGCCAACATTCAGCTATGACGATTTCAATATGGTAAGCAGAGTTAAAAATGTCTTACGTTTAAAAAATTCAAGAATAAAAGTAAAACGAAATGCGGAAAAAGGTTGAGAATGCCATTAGAAGAGAAAGAATCATCATGCAACAGCGATTAAAAAATCCAAGTTACATTATTTGTTTTGCATACGTGGCATACTTAATTTAATGAATTTTCATTAACATTACATAATTTATTTCTTAAAATCAATTCCGTTATATTTCACTCAACATTAGAATTTTTCTATAAAAAATTGAAAATAAGTGTTAAACCTGTTTTCAGGTCTTTTATTTTAATCTAAATATAACCCCTCATATCCGGACTTTGTAACCAATTCTTCATATCCGGAAGGCCTTCTTACTCCGGTTGTCAGGGATTCTATTGTATTTTTTTTTCTGTTTCTGAATATTTCGCTCATCTTTTGGAAGCCATCTTTCTCTATCCCAAGGTGCCTTCGAATTTCCGTGTCGCACTTTTCGATTGCACTTTTGAAAATAGGGATGTCGTAAATGGAATTAAAAGGAAATTGTTGAAGTAGCAGATACAGGTTCAAGAGTAAAAGTTAAGTGGGATGACTGTAGGTGAAAGGAAAAGATCATGGAAAGTCATATCCCTATATTAGGATTATTTGGAGTGGGTCATGAAATGCAGAAAGATTAATAAATGCGCAAAGCCTTGCAGTGTAGTGGAAATTAAATTTGACTGAGAAAAATGAGATGTAAATAAGAAGCAAAGACAGAAAAATATAGGCGTATAGAGAAGTGAGACGACTGAAGAGAGAAAGAAACAATAAAAACGGATAGAGAGAAAGAGAGAGAGAGGGAGATAATAAGGGGGTTTAAAGAAAAGGTTTTCAAAGAGGAGAAAAAGAAATTTGTGCATACAACAAAAAAAGATGGAATTTGCCGTTGGGAAAGATAGAAGGGAAGAGAAAAGGCGGGATAACACGATACAAAAATAACAAGGAAGACTCAGAATAATATGTAAAGGTGATTGGGAGGGAAAATTACGTGCAGAAAGCGAAGACAACATTGTAAACGTTGGAAAAATACATGAAATTGTAACGACGACAAAAGAACGGGAGAAAAAATGACGGGAAGAAAAGGGAAGTGACAAGAATTTAAAAAATCGTTAAAGAAGATGTTACAGTGATTTCGATGAGAAACTGTGTGCGGAATGAGGAGACACAAACATGGCGTTGAAAAAGCTGAAATTTAATGGAGGGTAAAGAAGAGAAGAGCAAAAGAAAGAAACGAGCAATGACGAACGAAAAGAAAGACGTAGAATGTTAGATGTTAAGAGAATTTGGAATGAGAATATTTGTAGAAAGCGGAAACAAAAGATGACGTATAAAAAGATGAAAGTAAATGGCGATTTAAAGGCTGGAGAAGGAAAAGGCGGGAAGAGAAGAGCAAAGAAAGAAATTGAGTGATATGTTATTATTGTCATGTCTTTCCTCTAATGGGTCTATTGTGGACTCTTCCACTTACTATAAAATTAGTAGGAAAGTAAGCCTCGTCGGAACAGTAGTATAGATTGTTCTACCGAGGCTGTGACAGTTCGCAGCTGCTGTCAAACTCTCTGCCTTTGGGCAGAGAGAAACTCGGACGAGGATGTAGACAGACTCGAACCTGTTTATGCGGGTTCTACGGGGATTTTTGGCCGAGACTACGGTCTCGGATGAGCCACATTAAACTCTGTCTTGTGCTACATATATACCTATATATAGGTAAATATATATTGCTAAATATTAACAGTGGTATAGATTGTTCTACCGAGGCTGTAACAGTTCGCAGCTGCTGTCGAACTCTCTGCCCAAAAGTAGAGAGGAACTCGGACGAGCAGGTAGATAGACCCGAACCAGTTTATGCAGGTTCTATGGGGATTTTTATGGCCGAGCCTGTGAGCTCAGATGGCCCACGTTAAACTTGTGTAATAATCTTCTGTTCAACATGTTTTATCTGCAACCTCTTGTTTGGTTATTTCTTAACCATATACTTGCTTAAAACAGTTATTCTTATTTGGAGGGAGCTTACGCAGAGACAGGCGAGACAAAATTCAACGATGGCAAAGAAAATGGCAATGATGGGGGTACAAGAAAGAAAGTAGGAAAAGACTGGACAAATCAAGACAGGATAAATGACAAGAAAAAAATACATCGCATGCAATGTTAAGGTGATTTGGAGGGAGACTATATGGAGAAAGAGAAGACAATATTTGACGTTGGAAAGGAAGATAGAATTTAATGGTGATTCAAGTGAGGGAACCGAAAAAAGGCCGGATAAAAAGAGACGGCCTCAAGAAAGAAGTGGATGAGATATGTTACGGTTATTTCGAAGAAGCGTACGTGTAGAAAGACGTGATAAAATTTGATGTTGGAAAACAAAACGAAGATAAAAGGAAGTACGAAATGACAGATCAAAACAAGAACGAATAAATGGCATAGACGCAAAATTATATTTCTATGGGGATTTGGAATACGACTATTTATGGAGAAGGAAATAAAATTTGACTTTGGAAAAGAAGTTGAAATTTAATGTGACAAAATGAAAGGAAAAAGACTAGACAAAGCGGGAAAGTGATAAGGAAGACGCAGCATATGTTAAGGTGATTTGGACGGAGGTTTTTTGGGAGGAGGAAACAAACCGTAATACGGGAAAAGATTAAAATTAATGGCGAAGAAAGAAAAAGGCGAGATGAAAAGTGAGGAGAGAAATAACAAGACAGTCGTTGAGTGATGTGATACATTGATTTGGATGGCGGTTACGTGTAGGCAGACGAGGCAAAATTTGACTTTGGACAAAAAGAAAAGAAATCGACAATAGAATGTAAGAAAGAGCGGGAAGAGACAAGAAAAGATAATGAAAGAAAGATGATTTGAAAAGGAGATTGTTTATAGAAATAGACGGCAAAATTTTCATTGGAAAAGAAGGTGAAATTTAATGGCGACTAAAGGAGGAAGAAAAGAAAAATAAGAAAAAAAGGCGGGAGAAAAAAGGCGGGAGAAAAAAAAGCCGGGAGAAAAAAAGGCGCGAGGAAAAGTGAAAATATAATGTCACGAAAGCCATAGAATGTTACGGTGAGTTGAGTGGATTAAAACACAACTATATAAAATATTCTGCAGTATTTATTAGTGAAACAGAATTTGCAGTTGTAAATTTAACGAAAGATATTAATATTTTAGGTAGATTGTGCTTGACTCGTTTTCTACTGCAGCTTATTTAAAACCAGAAAATATTTTTAGATGGTAAGAAAATTTTTGGAGATAATGAAAAAATGTTTACTAATTAACTTATAGCTGGGATAAGAGATAAATTCATACCATTCCCATATTTGTCCGTAAGTGAATACAATGTGAATTAGAACTCTGTTCTCCGATTAACTATTCCGAGGCATTGTCGATTACACCACCCGCACATCCAAGGTTACAACACCTGCTACTCCCAAGCCTATCCTATACAGGGGAACACTATATTATAATAAGGAAACGAGAAAAGTAATCGATCGGCGAAGATACGAGTGAAATTAATTGTGAATTTTGAACAGGTATCTAAAGGGAAAAAGACTTCATAGAAAAAGATCAAGAAAACAGCAGGAGGAAGTTTGGCATATCGGTTGTAACAGCAAAATTGTCCAACTCGTGTAGCAGCATGCAATAAATGCCCATCCCACAAAATGGTTGAGATCTAAATAACGCTAAACTAAATTAGTTTATTTTTCCCATGTTTACAGATATTTAGCCATCGTGACAACACTTGTCGTAAGAATCACTAAAAAAACCCTGTGAGTTATTTAGCTAGAAAGAGAAAAAGTTAAAATCGTTTTCTGTCAGCCACACTATGTATTCCCAACTGAGCAATGGTCAGAGAAAAACGATCATTCTTCCATTGTCAAAAGAACGGTAAATAAATTAAAAAAAACCCAAAAAAAACACCGGATCAGGTTATAACAGCAAGAGGGATTATCATTTCAACTTAGAGTTAAATATATTCTTATTGTTCAAAGTATAGTCCAATAGTGTTATAAAAACCACGGAGATGAGGAAAGAAAAGGCGGGAATATTAAACACTCACAGGAAAATTGATGTTAAAAAAACAGAAAAAAACATTGAATAACCTACTTAACGATTTCGTATGAAAGGATGTACCCCACCGTCAGTCGATGTCGACTATGAATTATGCACCCCAGTGTCAAGTCGTATTAATACTCTGAAACAACTGGTTAGTAGGTTATCTACACAGAGGCATGATTTCCCCCTTACTCTCCTTTACTCAGCTCAACTTCTCTTCCCTCAATCTGAATTGTCTCCAGAGAACAATGCACCATATATTGCGATAAGTTGCTGCATCTTCCCAGCTCTCAGTGTTAATATCCAGAGCTTACATATCTGGCTTTATAGTGCGACATCGGGATGCCCATTATGTAGCTTCAAATAGGCCAGTTCACCGGACAGGATGTCTTTCGATTACGGCCATCTTACACCCGGCACATACGGCCAAGTCAGCGCAGCTTTTGTTGAGTAGCGTGTATATGGTGGGAAGCCATCGTCTGTGATGACTTTGGCGTTGGGTAATTTTTTGCTCTGCTTGATGCTGAGGATATGACGAAATCAGCGCATGCGGAAACGGCTCAGTTGCGTATGTTTTCCATGTTCCACTGCTAAACACACGCGGCCCGAAACTGATATATACTTACATACTTACTTACAAGATGATTTGAAGTCTTTCTTAGTCACACACATTCTCTCTCTCCTTCACTGACAAGCTGTCGGTTAATCTTTTCCTGTTAAAGGACAATAAAATAAGCCAGTATAGACCACACGCATTGTGCAACATAACACTATGAAAAAAAATTATTTTAGTGAAAAGATGGCTATTTTAATTTCCGTAAGACGAAGAAACAGACCAACTTTATAATATTGTATTCGGGGTAAAATGATGTACTACATCCGTGTCCTGGGTAAGACGGTAAACTACATCCAACAGCAAGGCCTCTGATCAGGTTGTTTTGAGGATCGTGGAACTGTCTCTTAATTTCTGGTGTTCACACATCCACCCTGACCTGGGGTGGTAGCACCTATTAGGCTCTAAGCTACGGACAAATAGTTAACAACCAAACTGGGATCAAAACACTATGAATGTGTAAAAAATAGGTTTTAACACTAGCAATACATTTTTGTAGAAAATTATTACCAGCAATGAATTTAGAAGAAAAAATTATCACCAGCAATACCTTATTACCAGCAATAGATTTTTGGAAACAAAATGTTACCAGCAATAAAGATTTCGTTGACATTAAATAATCCATTGAGTTTGATATGCCGTAAAACAAAACAGACCAAACTAAACTATAATATTGCTCTCAAGAAGGTCGTAAAAATTAACGTTGCGACGCAGTCGATTTTTCCCACTACGACACAGCGAAACTTTAAACGACACTTGCGAGGTACATACGCGAAGAGATATGATGTCGCAGAAGTTTGGTTTGAATTGGGGACATTGGAATAATAAGTCGTGTGTTTAGAGGGGAAAAGGAAGAAGGTTGTCCAGATTTAACGGAGAGAAACAGTAAAAAGCATTAAAGAGGTGTGAATATAGGATATATTCAGTTGAAAAAATGAAAACTATAAGACTGATGTAGGAGAGAGTTATAAAAAATTTAATTTGGAGGGAGAGTTATAAAAAAAAAATTAAAAAGGAAACAACCGTGCGATTAGACGGAGAAAGATTAGATCGAAATTACTTTTGGAAAAGAAAGAAAATGCTAGTTGATCCCCGAATATAGACAAAAATGAAACTAAGCAGACAAGGAAAATGAGAAGAGATACAAATAAAGGGCTGAAAAGGATATTTGGTTTAGTGTGTTTTACGGTATTCGGTCATTGGTAATTTTATTTAGAAAAAAGTATTTGTGGTATTTTTTGTTCGAAAAAAAGGTATTGCTGGTAATTTGTTTTTTAGCAAAAATGTATTGCTGGTATTTAAAAAGGTATTGCTGGTACATTTTAATGTATTGCTGTTATTTTCTTTATTAACTGGTATTTTTTAATTCATTGCGGGTATTTTAAAAATGTTTTTCTGCTATTTTTTAAATTTATTGCTGGTATTCTATGTTTTTAAATGTATCGCTGGCACTTTTACAAACATATTACTGGTATATTTTTTGTAATGTATTGATGGTATTTTCCCCCAAAATGTATTGCTGGTATATTTTTCAAAATATTTGCTGGTAAATATTCAAAATATATTACTGGTATTTAAAAAGGTATTGATGATATTTAAAAATGCATTGATTATTTTTTTCATTTTTTACATGTCTTGCTAGTCTTTTTAAGGTATTGCTGGTATTTGTAATAATATTACTGCTATTTTTATCTTTTTATCTATATTGCAGTTATTTTAAAAATGTATTCCTGGTATTTTAATGATGTATTTTTATTGCTGGTATTTTTATTCTTAAAATGTTTTCCTGATATCTTTATTATTTTTTTAAAATGTATTGCTGGTATTATTATTTTTTAAAAATGATGCTGGTATTTTTATTTTTTTAATGTATTGCTGGTATTTTTTTCAAAAAGTATTGCTGGTAACTTTTTATCTATTGCAGGTATTATTGAAAAAAATATTGCTGGTATTTTATGAAAAATGTATTACTGATATTTTTCCAAAAATATATTGTTGGTATTTTTCTTCTAAAAATATATTGATCGTAATTACTTTTTTTTTTTTTTTACAAAAAAATCTATTGCTGGTAATTTACTTTACTATAAGCATGTATTTTCTATAGTTTCATAGTGTTTTGACCCCAATTTAGGGGTTAACTATTTTCCCATAGCTGGGAGCTGAAAAGGAGCTACCACCCAGGTCAGGTTGCTCCTGGGTACGGCAGAAATTAAGTGCTGATTCTACGTTTCTCAAACCTACAGATCAAAGGCATTTCTGTGACAGATTAGTGATGAGAAAAACTTTCTCCGCCAGCGGCAGAATATAATAACTGGTGAGATTGGAAATTTCAGTCTGTGTATGTATAATAACAGTCTACCTTTTGTGGCTCTTTGTCCTTGTACTAAGTGAATATGTATCTATCTATATAATACTAAATGTCTGTGATTGTGTGCCTGCTTGTGTGGTACGTCCGTCTGTTCGACGCATAATATTTGATAGTAATTGATAATGATAATTGATAGAGTTCAAAAGCGATTACGCTGTCTTGTTAGTGGTAAAATATTTTTCACCCATCACCAAACAACCATCGCTGATCTAACGTTATTTCCATGACATGTGTTCTAAAAAAACTACATTCCTTCGTATGACTAGATTTGACCTTTGCCGTTGGGATCCGCCTTGCCATGTTCACAAGTATGAATCATCCTAATCCCGTTCGTATTGCATACTGATGGTGAAATTTACTATAAAAATGTATTTTTATTTCAGTGTTTTGTCTGGGGGTTAAGTATTTGCCCATAGCTGGGACCCGAACAGGAGCTACCACCCAGGGTGGACCTGGGAACAAAATAAATTAAGAGGTGGTTACACGCTTCTCAAACCTCCCAATCAGAGGTATTCCTCCTACATATAATGTATCATCATACCCAGGACGAGAAAAAGATATTAAAGAAGAAATTAAATTTAAGTTCGAAATCTAAAATATGATCACCTGTAACTGAGTAGACTCTGTACATTCGCCTGTCATGATAATTCTCTCTTTGCCTTGAACGTCTACGAGGGTTCCAGCCCAACCCTGTCCTC